TTTTTATTTCCATATAAAAAAAAAAAAAAAAAAAAAAAAAAAAAAAAAAAAACCTGAGACATTCAAGGGTATAGTGATCAAAGAAAATGTAAATAATGTTAGTGTAATTCATATTCAATTGTATCAAGTACTCTAAACATAGTTAATCACCAATGCAATAATCATCAAAGATGTAACAGTAGTTTATCTCAGATAAAGAGTTCTTACATCAAAAGAGGAATCATACTTAAACAAATACAATAGATGTAATTAAACCAAAGCTAATAGGATAAAACAACAGAATTCAATGCTCTAGAGAATACAGATCCCTGTAAAGTGCATGCCATTCCCATTAGATTTCTCATCAAGTATTTTCAAGATCCCATGTAGCCAACACAAGATCTTGCAAAATAAGATGCAATAAAATTATCGTGCTATATCACCTTCGTCAGAAGCCAATCTTCCTATTCATGATGATGTTTTCTCTTCTTTTTCTCAGACCGCTTCTTGTGCCTGCGCACTAGACCATCATCCAAGCCACTGTCATCAGAAGCGGATTCTGAGGATGCCCTACTGTTCCGCTTATGCCTCTTTTCAGCAGAATCCTTAGGTGAATCATCTTCTGAATACCACTGACTCCTTCCTCTGCTCTTCTCCTTTCTCCTACTCCTCCCCCTCCTTCGCCTGCGTTCTTCTTCATCGTCATCTGATGAGTCTCTTTTCCTTCTCTTCTCCTTTCTCCTCTTCCTGTTTACTTCATCCTCATCCTCAGAATCGCTGTGCGCCCTCTTCCCACTCCTCTTCTTTGACTTACCTTTTCTCTTTCTATCTCTACAATCCGATTCTGTCCCATCATCATCCTTCCTCTTCCTACTTTTACTAGCCTTTGCCTTACTTCGACTAACTCTTTTCCCATATTTTCCAGCTATCGCCCTCTCAATCTCAGAATCATAATCAGAATCTGAACTCTCACTCTCCTCCTCTTCCTCCTCACTGCTTTCCACTTTCTCCGTCACAGTCTTTCCCTTCCCTTTCATTCTCTCGCCCTTCAACTTCTCCAAGCCGTACAAAACCGCAGCCTCAATCGCCTCTGAATCCTTCCCCTCCTTAACCTCTTCCTTCGCACTCAAAAAATTCCGACACTGAAACGTCAAGTGCCCAACACGGCCACATTTCTTGCACGATCCACGAGCCTCATCCGCATTCGACCCCGTGATACGGGCAAGAGCAAGAAGGCCCTGGAAACTAGCATAGGCATTCTCAGGGTCGGGCTCCGATGCTGTATTCACCTCGGACGAATTTACTCCTCCCCCTCCTTCGCCTGCGTTCTTCTTCATCGTCATCTGATGAGTCTCTTTTCCTTCTCTTCTCCTTTCTCCTCTTCCTTTTTACTTCATCCTCATCCTCAGAATCGCTGTGCGCCCTCTTCCCACTCCTCTTCTTTGACTTACCTTTTCTCTTTCTATCTCTACAATCCGATTCTGTCCCATCATCATCCTTCCTCTTCCTACTTTTACTAGCCTTTGCCTTACTTCGACTAACTCTTTTCCCATATTTTCCAGCTATCGCCCTCTCAATCTCAGAATCATAATCAGAATCTGAACTCTCACTCTCCTCCTCTTCCTCCTCACTGCTTTCCACTTTCTCCGTCACAGTCTTTCCCTTCCCTTTCATTCTCTCGCCCTTCAACTTCTCCAAGCCGTACAAAACCGCAGCCTCAATCGCCTCTGAATCCTTCCCCTCCTTAACCTCTTCCTTCGCACTCAAAAAATTCCGACACTGAAACGTCAAGTGCCCAACACGGCCACATTTCTTGCACGATCCACGAGCCTCATCCGCATTCGACCCCGTGATACGGGCAAGAGCAAGAAGGCCCTGGAAACTAGCATAGGCATTCTCAGGGTCGGGCTCTGATGCCGTATTCACCTCGGACGAATTGATCCTCTTCTCATCTTTGTTCGGCGCATAGGGATCATACCCGATTGCGCTCTGCCATATGCCATGAGTCTGTAAGGCAGCGCTACTGTGCACCCGGTTGTTCGCCGGCATGCGAACCCTCCCCGCTGTGGCCGGCATGTTGCCAAATCAATAAATAACCCTCAAAAACTACGGTTTGTTTAACCAGAGTAATTGAAATTGAAGATATTATACCTAGGAGGAGAAATTATAGAAATAGAAATTAACAAAAAGTAGGGTTTTCAATTGGGGATCTGAAATCAGAATATTCACACGAAATTCATAAGAACAGCATATTTATAAGGAAAACAAAGGAACAATTTACGACGTCGGTTAGATTACTTGTGACCGACATTAATTTTTTGTTTGACCGTAGAGCTCCTCAATCTATTGAATGTATAGCAAAAAGGTTCTAAACTTATTATTATAGCATTATGATCCCTGATCTTTTCTTTTGGTTGCAGTAAAGTACATAATGGTAGGATAATTCGGCCCATATATCTTGGAAGCTGAACTATTTCGATTTCCATTGAAAACTGTAAAATAAAATTATTGGTTCTACATAAAGAAGAATTGAAAATCTTTTTGTCGCTAGAAATTTTGATTCTCTATGGACGGCGTGGATTACATAATATATATTTTTTTAATTTTTACAAACCAAAAATGAATTTTGCAAGCTCTCTCTATTAATTTTTTTTTTTTTTTTTTGGATAAATCTATAAATAGGTCTGGTGTTTATTGTAGAGATTTGGGGAAATGTGGTTGGTATAGACCGTCTCCTTGGTTTCATTCACGTCCCCTACTTTTATTATTAAATTAGTCAAAAGTAAATGTGTGTTGCATGTTGTTTTGAATGGGTTTATAAGTGTCGTAAATGTAATAGTTGAAGATGCCTTAATTTGGAAGATAATTGAAAAAAAATTGTTGATATGAAATGAACTTTTTATTCAATGAGAATATCTTTGTACACTATATTTTTTGTATGATTAGGGGTATTCGACTTAACTAAAACCTTTGTAGTTGTCATAGAAATTCCTCTTGAAAGTGCAATGTATAACTGTTCATGCGAGAATACATGTTGTGGAAGATATACTCCTATGTGAGGTATTGTCTGTCCTTGAACTTTGTTGATTGTCATTGCAAAACAAAGACGTACATGAAACTGTTTTCGTATGAATTTGAATGTATATCTTTCATAATTTATAGGACTTCATGGTATACGCGGAATGAATTCGAGTTTGCCAGAGTACTGTTCAGTAGTTATCTTTGCATGTATAACATGTGTACTAAGTTGATGACAAACCATTATATTCCCATTGCAGAGTCTATTTGAAGGATTTAGATTTCTCAAGAGCATTATTGGACAATTTATTTTCAACACTAATCGATGAGGTCGAACTCCATTTGGAAGTAATATGTTGAGAAACTCAGGTTGATGGTAATTATTTGTGTCATCAATTGCTACATCATAACTAAGAAACTCTTTAGTTTCACCCGGGAAAAGATCAATCATTTTTTTGTTTATGAGATCAACGTTTTCATATGTAGTGGATAGAATCGCCCTTTGTGTCATATATTCTGATGATCCTGCATTATTTGGTAGGTTTGAGAAGACAGAGTTGATTAAATTGAGCTCTAGAGAGTTGTTGTTGGAGGAGGAAAGTACAATGTCTTTAGGAAGTGAGATGAAGTATTCTCTTGTAGTTGGTTCTATTCCATTGCTGATTTTGATCAAGTATTCCGCGAATTGATGATACTTTTACGTTCTCATGTTCTGTGTCAAATGTAGTTTATGCATTTCTTCCCAATGATATGATCGTACTAAACTTTCATTAACTATTTGTTGTCTTATTGCTTACGAGACAACTGGAAGAACCTGGCAAAAATCTTCCCCAAGTACCATTACTTTACTCCCAAACGATTCAAAGTTGTTCACGATATCTTGAAAAGTCCTATCGACTGTCTCAATGGTTGCTCTCTTTGCCATTGGAGCTTTATCCCATATAATGAGTGCTGCTTGTCAAATAAGTTTGACTCAACTGCTTTGCTTTGATGTATGATATATCGATGATTTATTTGTTTGCAACGGAATGTTGAATTTCAAATGAGCTGTTCGCCCTCGAGACAGTATTGAAGCAGCTACTCTAGAAGTTGCAGGTGCAAGTGTTATATCTTATTTCAGCAAGTAATGCTCGATTTAGAAGTGTTTCACCACCTGGTCCATCAACAAAGAAAACCTCACCTTTTTTATTGTTTAGTTTATCAAATATGAGATCATATGCTTGTCTCTGATCATAATTTAGATAATGATCAGCCTGTGTATCTTCAATTGGTGTTTCAATTCATATTTCATCTAATATGTCCTTTGTACTGAGAGAATGCGTATCCGTGGAGACAGTTGTTAGTTGAGGCAAGTCATAGGCATTGATGCTTTTCCCTATGGACTGAAGGAATGATTGAATATCCTGAAATGCATAATGAAGTTGTAATTGTAATGAATCTTGATCTTATTTTCTAAAATCTTTAGACATATGTTCGAAGTAAAGATCTCATAAATTTCTAACATTAGTAGGTTCACAATAAATCAATAGTGTAGCAAAGAGTCTTCTAAATGCTCGAGGCATGTCAAAAGCAGCTACTTCATCTAAGCGTTCAATGATACTTCGATCAGACTCAAGAAGCCCTCTTTTTTGGGCCGCTTCTTTAAAAGTCCGGAATTGACTCCCATTAACATTCATGAGGTCCTCAAAAGGCTTTGATCCCATTACATGATTTAGTAATAAATGAAGATAATATCTTTCCCCCTCAGCTTGATTTGCTCCTGCAATGCTTGATATCACTTCTCCTTTTTCCTTTTTGTCCCACGGGCCTGCCTATTTTATATGTAGTGTTCTAGAAATTCTCAATATAAGAACCTCGTTGCATCTTCATTGTTGTTACACATTTTGAAATATTCCGTCAACATCATCCTTGAGACGTGATCGAATTGAATAACTCTATTCAGATCTTGGTTTTCCCAATAAGATACCGTTTGTTGATTAGGGAGGTGAAGTTGTAAGTTGACGACAACGGGTGACATTTCATTCTATTGAAATTCATAAATTCTCCATAAAGCTTCTTGTGCAGATACCCAACGTGCATCTTGGAAATCTCGTATTTCATTTATTGTCATATTATCATCATCATCATGAGATATGTAGATAGTTGCTCTATCATGACCTTTGTAGATATACTTATATACATATTTTTCAACTTTCAAACCAGGACAAATCTCGACATTGATATGACAATTATACCGTAGAAGCAAATATGTAAGGAACAACCCATCTGTTATAAAGTGTTGCGTTTCGAACTTTGACCTATGAATTTGAAATTGAAGAAGTTTGACTAATTGTTACGTACTAATATTGTAAGTTAAAAAACTAATGTTAATAAGAATAATAATCGTATTTACCTTTTTTCCATCATTTCTTCTTCTTCATCTATATATTGGATATGCATCATTCCCTTGCATTGTCTTCGAGCAAAATGGTCTTGGATAACGGAATCTATATGTCACGTTCACCATGTAAGGACATTTCTTGTTATATTCTTCACATGGTACATGTAGCATGTGTTTGACAACTACTTCATAAAGAGGCAAATTTGTTTTTTTATCTTGGATTTCTACCTACACATATTTGTCATATTGGCCAACATTCGTGATTTTGTAACCTCTTTTCAATATAATTAACATGTGAGTATGTGGAAGTTCTCTTTTTTTGAAATTCAATCATATAAACATAAGTCGCAACTTTGTCAAGAATCTCTTTCTTCAATATTTGATCTTTTAGATCCATTAGCTTTCCTCTAAAGACTACTGCAGTGAGATTTGGGACTATCTTGATGACGTTGACCTTTTTCGAGTTTGTCTTTTATTTCTTTCCATTCAGAATTGCATCTCATTGTTAAAAAAATATCTGGTCTTCCAAAATGTTGAACTAATGCCATAGCATCCAAGTAACGACATCGCATGTCTCGTGGGCCTCCAATAAATGATGCAGGGAGAATAATTCTTTTTCCAACTTGATCTCCTCTTGTTTTGCCCATATTTACAGTGTCAACGATTCCTTGATATAATTCTAATCAAATGCGTGATTGTTGTGTCCTGCAGAAATCAAGTCTAGTAGTTTCGAGCTTTATATACTTGTCAACAATATATTACTATAGTAGTCATCCTGTCCAAAGAAGTATTGATTTGCTGGACAGTCAAATTTGGAGCTTATAACAATAATATTCTTGGCAAGATATTTTTTATGCTTGGGTTCGGGTAACTCTTGTTAAAAAACACAATAATATATATTAGATAATGTTTATATGAAATATTTCATTTCAGATTAAATAAATGCATTTATATGCAAAAAAATGAATTTCACCATGTGTTCTTTTTTGATGATATCCTCTGCAGAATTAAAATTGGGAAAAATCATTGGTGGTTGCAATTGTACATATCATTTTGCTGGTTACATTGTTTTCAACTCTGTTTCTTTTAATGTCTTGGGGCCAACCCCCCTCCCCATTTGGAAATAACAGAGGATATTGAAGTGAATCATAACAGTTGAAGTAGTATCGAATATTATGTCGATTTCCAAAATGTGCATGAACAACAATATCCCTTTCGAAAGGTATCAGATCATCGTTTCCTTCTATCCATAAGGTAGCTACTTGATCGATGGTCGGTGTATTGTATACAAGTTGATCGACATTAACATTGCTTGCAATATGTATCTGTATATTGCCAATGCATTATTGATCCTTTATGGTACGAAAAAATTGAGCATGAGAATTGTGTTGTAGGATTTGCATTAGCTACTGAACAATGGTCTTATCAAGATCGGCATCTCTTAGTATGTGAATCTTGTTTTCCAATTCGTGATCAACATCTTAAAATACAATTGAAAAAATATCGGTCATTTTTCTGATAAAAGAGCTGGAAGATCATGGCATATTTGCCCTTGAGCTCTAAATGTGTACGCTCCTTTATTTGATGTAGTGAGATCTTTATCCAAATTTACATTGAACGAAGTGAAGGAGAATATGCTATTATAACCTCTCAGGTTTTTTTGAAATAAAATCCTTTCAAATGATACAATTCATTTGGTACTTTATTGTCAGCAAGTTGGACCTAATAAATGTTGAATGGAAAATTTTTAAATAATAAATTATATAAACGCTTTATGATAGAAGGTAGAAAATATTTGTACTAACCATTTTGACAACAAAATGCAGGAGTTTCGTACTCATATTTTGTTGCGCCACAAAAAGTGCATAAACGTATTTTCTTAAGATTGTGTATTGGAGAACAAAAAGGTGCAAATAAATTTATTCCTGTACAATATCAAATGAACTTTGATAACTAATAATGGAAAAAATTAATGTAGATGAGAGTCAATCTAATGGTCCAATAGTAGGACCTTGAATTTGATTCCAATTTTATTATTGTTTGGTTTCAATGGAAGATGAGATACTGCACTTGTTGCCCATGTCCTCTGTGTGTCTCTTCTTTCTTGATTCATTTGTAAGCTGAATCTTTTTGATCCTTTGTTCTTGTGAGAGCCTTGAATATTTCATTCTTTTACGTTGGTTATCCATGTGTAAGAAATTATTTCCCGTGATTCGACATCAAGAAAATAAAAGAATTTAAAGAGTTATTGATTAGGGGACACTCAAAGATGTAATCAATTAAACAAATAAATGATAAAATATATTTATTCTATTTTTTAATACTTCCAATTATTTGCCCATGATTTCCTGTCAAGGAGTCAAAATAATTTTCTTAAAATTATAATATCTATATAAAAAAAATTTAGATGTAAAAATAATCATGATGAAAAAAGTCGTATAATCGTTTATAAACCCTATAAAGCAATAAAAAAAAATTTCGTCACTTTTTTTTAAAAGTTTGATTGTGATCCCCTAATGTAAAATGTCTGTGTCTGCGTTTGGCCCTGATCCTCTTTGTAGGTCCCAATAATTTGTAGAATCCTCCACCACATAATAGTTTTTTAGTGCTAAACAGAAAAAGAGAAAATAAATAATCTTTCAACTATATGAAAATGTATTTAGACTTAGTAATAATGTAAATATAATCATTATAACTAAATAAACCATGCTCACCTATTTTTAATAGCAGTAGTTTCTTCAAGTTGTGGACTGATTTCAATGATACTAACATTTGAAGTGGAGATGTTTAGTTCATCTGTTCGATAGACGTTTGTAAGAAATGGCATACATTGTTGATTTTATCATACAGTTCTTTTTAATGCGATAATAAAATAATAATTACAGAGTATCACCTTCATAGTAACTTGCTTTCACATTGAAAGCTTGAATAACTGGCATTTCATGAACAGTGTCTCCCATAAACTTTCCTTCGTTGTCAGCCAAATCTCCCCACAGAATTTCATTGTATTACACCTGTACTAAGAACAAAGCTGTTGATTAAATAATATTAAAAAGTTTTCTTCTTTTTATTTGATTAAAAATAGTTGTTTGAATTTATAGATGATATTTACCCACTGTCTAGGATAGTCACTTCTCGTTTCTTCCTTGTTCTTTCACTTGGCCTCTTAACATTGATGATGAATGCAGATTTTACTTTGACTACCAATCCTACAATATCTGAAAACAAAGAGAAAAAAAATTTACAGAAACAATTCATTAGCCAATGGATAGCCTTAGATATCATGAATTTTCTACACCAATGCTTTCACTAATGTCATGTGGAGTGTTTTTTACCCCCATATTCAATAAATAGCTTAATAAAATCGAACTTGACATAAAATGTGGGTAGAGTTTTTTGAATTTTAGAATTAATACTAAGTAAGACTCTCTGAACGTGATTGTAAGCTATGCATTTGACTAAAAAATATAACTACCAATTACGATATCTCCGCTAGCAAAATTTGGCACTTCATTGAATTGAAGAAAAGAGTTTGATATCTTATAGCATATGCGTTCTTCAATTTCTTCTACTTCCGTTGTAGTTGTGAAAGACAATTCGATTTCATCATTCACATTTCGATACTTCCCATTGACAGGTCTTACGCTTCCATTTCGTATAATATAAGATTTTCCCTTTTCAATTATAGCATCGAATTTTTGAATTGCATCATTGAATAACATGGCTTGAATTTAATATCCCTGTAGAGAAATCACTATGTTACTTCTAATATACATGATTGAATAAATTCAAATATGAATATACAACTTAATCATTACTCCACTACCATGAAAACTAAATTAAAACAATCTAGCGTTGCATAAATATTCGGCTCATATCAATTTAGAATTATTAAATATAAGGGTTAGAGTAGTAGATATATTACCTCCTTGTCAATTGGATGATCTTCAAAAGATCAAATTTTCCAGTATTGTTGGAATAAGATTTGACCAAACCTTTTTGAACCACCGTCACTTTAATGAACCATTCATTTTCATATGCCGATAAATCTCTTATAGCCTTTGATTCCATGATGGGGGAGAGCAAAATATTTGATGATTTGATTGAAATGTAACAACAACCAATCTATAACAACAATCAATCTGTCATTTGTGTGTGTATGATTTTCATTTTATGTGTGCATGCATGCATTATGATTCACCGAATTAATTGGTATAGAATTTGCATTGATTTTGATACAATGAATCTTTGCATGTATAATAAGCATTTTGCACCTTTTATCTCCTCAAACTATTCTGGTCATAAATTGTTGAGCCTGTGTTAGATCATGACATTACTCTCATAAGCCCCCATTGGTTATGTGCAGTTTTTCCCTAAATCGGCCAAAGCATTGATATTGATGCAACGAATCTTTGAATGTATAATAAGCATTTTGCACATTTATATAGATTAATGTCTGATGACCAAGTGAACTAATCATATTAACATAATTCCAAAGGCATTTATTAAAGAAGAAAAGAGTCAAGCAAATCCATGCATATGCCTATTTTATTACGTGAATAGTGGCAAGTACATTTCTACCAAACAAATAAAAGGTGTGATAATTTTCCATCTGTGAACTACTTTAGGAAGTAAGAAAGAGAGTAATCTATTTTGATTTCCCATTTTTGCACGATAAATTTTAAAATAAACTCGTTTGTATAATTATCAGTGTCAAAATTTCATAAAATTTTAAGGAAAAGTAAGGAACATCTTATAATATGACATATCCAACATTTATTTTATATACAATAAATTATACAACTAAAACCACATTTATTAGACCCAACAAGGACATCGACTCGACCAAAATATTGGATCTCGGGTTATTGGTCGAATCGGTGGGTCAATGCTTAAAAATTTTAAAAAGTTATTTAAAGTATAAATTTTTTCTTTGATACAAAATTATGGAGTGGTTTTTAAATTATTTGTCTTTAATTATTTATTTATTTTTAGATTATTTTGTTACATATTCAATTCATCTTAATTAAAACTAGGACTATACATATATATATATATGTGTGTGTGTGTGTGTGTGTGTGCGCGCGCGCGCGCTCGCGCATATTTATATATTGTTGCAAATGAATACTAATTAGCTATTGTGTTCTCGTGGTTAGGTGCCCCAAGGTTCTATTTGATCACCAAAACTTTAAAAACAACTTTTGAAAATTTGTTCAAATGAGTCAACCTGGAGGTTTGGGCTAAAGGTTGTTTTTGATCAAGTCATTTACATTTATTAAAAATTACTCTACTTGGCCGAGTCAAGGGCCCAGGTCACGGATTTTTCTGCACGACGGATCTGTCAGGGTTGAGTTTTATAGCTAGGACTAAAACTATGATTTTCTTATACGATGAGCGAGTCAATAGTCCGAATCATCTTTATTTCAGTGGTGTAATCAAAATATATCAGTCATTGTTAAAGTATTTGAGCAGATTTGTAGCTCAAAAATTGGAACAAAGTTTCATTTTGTTGATTCCTCGTATGAATTAATGGAGCGCTTGCCACAGTTGTAGAAGGGTTTTATGGGGAATCTATATTAGGCCAACTTCATCTAAAAACTATTTTTGTCAGATAAATCACTTGGAAAATTATTCAAATAAATATGTTCAAAAATAGCTTATTAATCTCAAAATCAGCTTTTGAGATTTCGGAACCGGTCAAACAGACCCTAAACATTTATGATGAGAAGGGTTGCGAATTTGTACTTTTGAATCTCAATGTTTCAATGGTAAAAAGGCAGAAAAAGGATAAGACGTCAAAATGATAAAGTCGCTTGCATGCAGGTGACCTTTTGACATTGAAGTAATACCACATTTTGCATAGGGAAATGCTATTCGTACAGACTCATTTGCACAGACTCTGTAAAGATGCTCTCACATGGGGGTGGACCCCACACATGGGGTCCACATGTGGGGTCCACCCCCATGTGAGAGGCCCTGTACAGACCCTGTGCAAATGGGTCTGTACAAGGAGTTTAATCCTTTTGCATATTACCTCGATCTGTGTAGTATTTGGCATTATTTTTTGAGAGTCAATGTTTTGCTACCATAACATATTGCCAAAGTCAATATTTATCGTCAAGGGCGATAATATTTTCTTATCAACCAAAATGGGTGATAGAAGGCTAAAAGAACAGTTGAAAATATTGTACCATAATAATAAGGTAAGTACCAAGAATTTGTAAGTGTTATTCCCTACGTTCAATCGACTTTGGACACAAAAACTTTTAATATATAGTTAATGCAATTTATGGCAGATCAATTATTTAATAAATTACTGTTTGATCGAATTAAATAATGGAGTCCGTAAATTCAAATCTTAGTAATTTGTTAATCACAAAGAGTTGTGATTGTGAGATACAAATTACACATGATTGAATCTTAAATCATCCGTGATTATAAGTAATGACGAGATATGGATATCGTTATTATGGATAGACCATCACGTGTGTCATTTCTTACTTGTGAAATAAGTAGCTGATCTCACAAGCTAAAATGTGGTGACATTTGAATAAATACGTGTATGTTTTGTTAAAGAACAAAATATTGGAGACCCATTGAAAGATTTAACATGAATAATTATCTGAGTGTAAGTGGTTAATATCTAACGTTCGGTAGGGGAATTGGTCATTTGACTTGAGGTCGTCATAGTGCCTTCTATGTGAACACTCATGCTCTGACGGTGTTGGATATTGCTCAGTCAATGGCCACTAATATGACATCGCTCGGGTATGTCAAGAATCATATGAAGGTTGTGAATAACCAATAGAAGATTCGTTACTCTTAGATAGTAAGAGATTATGATCTACATTTCATTCTATTAAGTCGATAGCGAAATCTTTGGCCAAAGTGTACTTAGAAGTTGGAAAAGAGTTTTTCGACTTATATTGACTTAATAGTACAAATGAAATATATGATCGATAATTGAGATTGTCACATTTTCATATCTCGTAATTGATCGAATCATATTGACGAAGGGATTATAGTTTCACAGTAAACAAACGAGTTTGGTTTTGTCATACCACGTGACATTTCTCATCACATATACTGCATTGACACATTGCTAGATGTCAATTTGAGACGGCGAGTGTGAATTGGTGATAAATTAAAAGGGTGTTTTAATTTATCAATTTTGATTAGATCAAAATAATATTTCACGTCATTAGGTATCGTGTTCGAGAACCTGATGAGTAGCACACAAAAGGAGAACTGGTAGATTGTGATTTGTCAATTAATTAATTTAACAAACTTTGGATAAATTAATTAATTAGGTTGCTTATTTATAGACCTAAATTAATTCACGGACCGAATTTAATTAAATAGGTTAATTAAATATTGGACCGGACCAGGCTAAGCCCCCATGGACTGAAAACCACAAAAAAAAAAATAATAATAAAAAAATTGCCCCAACCCGGTCCGGTCGGGCTAGTTTTTGCCCACTGTTAGTTATACAATTTTTTCATCTTTATTATTTTTATATCTGAAAAAAATTATATATAAAAAAATTCAATTATTTTTAGGATTTTTTTTTAATTATTGTTACATTTTCCTCTCGATCAATTAATTTTTTTTTTCAAATGATGTCAAAAATTTTATTAGGAAATTTATTAGATTATTTTTAAACAAAATAATTGATTGAGAGGAAAAAGTAACGATAATAAAAAAATCCTAAAAATGATTGAATTTTTTAGATGTAAAAATAATCAAGATGAAAAAAGTAGTATAACAGTTTTTAACTCATTTAAAAAAAAAAAAAAATTCGTCACTTTTTAAAAAAGTTTGATTGTGATCTCCTAATATAAAATGTTTGGGTCCGCCCCTAGGATTACTCTAATGAATTTTACGAGGCAAAGTCACTTGTAATAAGATCTTCTTAAAGAAGAGGGTCTACACTCTTTTAATGGTGAAATCTGCATCTTATAACATTATCGCCTCTGCTATTATCAAAGAAGAACAAATATGCAGAAATAAGGAAAATAGACAAGGCAGTTCATAGCAAGATGACGTCTTATCTAGAACATAAACTTATTTGTGTAGAATTTGTATTTGTAGGAGATAATCATGCCTCGAAGATCGATGGTTTTGAAATCATTAAGATGAAAATATATGATAATTAGATTCTTGATTTGGATCCGTATGCATGCACATAAAGAAAACCTCTAACTAAACACGATTACACATTCTAAAAGTATGATCATAAATAAACTAATCATTGTCTTATTTATCTTACTACATGGGACAAAGAACACTAATTCGTCAATCCAACACATAAACCTCTTCAAATGGGTATACCTTTGAACTCCAATTTTTCATTCATTCGATCATCATTTTGGCAAATGAATATATGATTTAGTCATTATCACGATGGAGAACACGAACTATACTTTAATCTTTCAGAAAGAAGAAATGAATTACACCAATAAAATAACAAACACCCCCATTTTATGTGTCATTTTCCAACAATAAGTTGAACTTGACCATCGTGCCGCAAGAGTAATGTAGGTGAACCCAAGTTCCCTTTTTTGTATTATAATTCTTGAATTTATTATTTTTATTTTCAGGATCTAATTAAAACATTGCTTTGTACACAAATACAATGTGAAGATTTTGACAAAAGTAGTGATCCAATACCTAGCCATTTTCTTGCATTATTTTTGTCCCCAACGTTTGAGAGATTAAAAGTCCCTCTTGTTAGTTGTTAATATATTTTTAAAAGGACAAATTTATCTTTTAATAAACAGTAATTAAATAAAATACAAAAGATAAAGAAAAGAAAATTCATATGAAAAGACCAAACTGTCCTCATCTTCTTTATCTAAAAACGTTAGGGCTTGTCAATCCACAATGGACCAAAATGTTAAAGCATCCCATGATCATAATGTGCAAAGTATAGTCCGATCACATCACCCATCAGAATTAAAAACCAATAACTAACAGGCTCCTTTCAGGTCCTGCACTGGTACCACCTGTATGGCTGCTCTCTTTTTTTCTTTTCTTTTTTAAGGCCAACAATTAATCAAAAATTACCAAGTGTGGTACCTATAAAAATTTTGTGATGGAGCCTTGTACCTATAGCATCGCTCCAACGATAGGGGCCATTTCCAAGTGCAGACATGGCAATTTTTGATTGACAAAATTTTCTCTTATTTATTTTGACTGTCAATGAAATTTCTTCAAGTTTATATCTGTATAAAATCTTGTTATTGACCATGTTCTTGTTGCAGATCTATAGAAGAATTAAGCTTTTCTAAACTAAATTTTGAAATTATAAAAGTAAGTCAAGACTTTTTTCAAGAATTATGCTTTTCTTAACTAAATTCTCAACTAGCTTAAAAGTTAAAACAAATTCAATGATTAACCCAAAAAAAAAAAAAAAAAAAAGTTACCTAAAAATTAAAAATATCCACGCGTATGTAGCCGTTAAAACGGTTAAGGTAATAAAAAAATCTTTACGTTGACTAAAAACAAATAGCATCTTTTGTTTCCTTGTAGAGACTTTTATTTCCTTGTAGAGACTCACACACAGTATATATAAATACCACTTGGCATTGCAAATTTCAGTCTGCTTAATCCTCTGTCTCTCTTCTCCACCGTCTTCCATAATCATGACTGATATTTTGTACCTTTTACTATTTGTTTTTGCCTCGACTGTGATGTTTTTGTTGATTCAATGTATGCTGACAAAAAGGCGGGAAAGATATGCAGAATCGGAACAACATATGCTGCCAGTCGTAAACCGTCAACCACCACCACCACCACCACCATCACCAACTTCAACTGGATCCCAGATGATGGAAGGGAAGAAGGATGAAATAGTCACCAATATTTACATCGAACAAGAAGGTGCAGATCGTGAATGCTCTATCTGTCTATCTGAATTCAAGGACCAGGAATTGTTCAGGCATCATCCAGCATGCAACCATGGATTTCACTTCGAATGCATCAAAACATGGTTGGATATCAGTCAAACCTGCCCATTGTGCCGCCGGAATACTGTCATTGAACCATGATTCTTGTTTTTCTTATATTACAAATCTTGAGCTTTTTCTTTCAATTTTGATCCTAGAAAGATATTTTTTTGTACATGAATACAATGCTTAGTTTCTGAAATGGGAGATGCTTTCAGTGAATGAATGTTGACAAGGAATATAGTGTACTAAGTGTAGTCATAAATGAAGACAGATCAAGTTTATTTCATTGTATTCTGTCATGAATCATGTCTTCTTGGATTTTTCTCTTTCTATTAGTTTTGTATCAAAATTTAATAAAAACCAAACACCTCAATTGAAGGCAATCGTGCCCCATAAATCAGGCCCAGACACTAATCCATCCCCTTCTCCATTACCTGTTGCTACCCCATTATCGAGTCCAAGACCATCAGCAAAACACCCACAAATCTTCCCCATCAACAGGCTCATATATTTAAGACTTGAAGACGTCGCCACCACGAATTGCTTAAAATCATGATTTTAAAATTTAATTATCATTAATCAGATCATTAAAAGAAGTTCAAAAAATATGTATTAATAGCATACAATATGTAGGAGAAACAGATTGGCATCTTTATTTCCTTGTAGAGACTCATGACACACCGTAGTATATAAATACCACTGCATTTCAATTTTCTGTCCACTCTAATCGCTCCGTCTCTCTTCTCCATTGTCTTGATTAATGATGTCTGATACTTTGGTTTTTTTACTAGTTGTTTTTGCCACGATTGTGTTGTTTTTAGTGATTTCTTGTCTGCCAAAGTGGCGGGACAGATATGCAGAATCAGCACCCCCACCGCTGCTTGAGAGTTCAGGTACGACAAAAAATATGATGATTTTATTATCGATTGCTTAATTTAAATGATTTTTGTTATTTAACACTTCAAATTCGTAATTAAAGTAAAAATAGTATAAAGTTAAATTATAAGTATCTAGCAATTGTCAATCAGTTTCTGAACTATGCAGACATTCGTTCATTTAGTTCATTTTTGGTTCCATTAAAATTAAATTAAATCTAAGTTAAATTTATTTACCCCCAAAAATGCGCAAACAGAATTCCAATCTTGTCCCTTTTACATGGGCATCACCTGCACACTCTAACATTCCGTTAGGAGACAAAGGCCACCAGTCAAGAAAAAGGTCCGATGGCCGTTTGCACTTCGACGATCAAGTCGACGGATGGATAAAATGTAAAGAGTGCAAGAGACTAGTGGGAGGTTTGATTAGGATTGGAGAACATACATTAATTGTGAAATGATCACATATATATGGTGAAATAAAAATTGACTAAGTGATGCTGATTGGCCAAGTCCAAACCCAAGACGAAAATAGGCCCAATCTAATGAATAGTCAATTTCACATCAACATACACGGGACTCTTTCCGTCACACGCATGTCATGTAATTTATGGATGTAACAATAGTTCCCCAATTCCAAGTCATAAATTCATGTTGGGTTCGCACTTTGAAATATAAGCTATCTACTAATTGAGGTCTTATAGATTGCCTCAAAAATACAAGTAGCTTTGATAAACGAGAGCTTGCAAATTGTCTCGAAAATATGCATTGGTCCCAAATGGGCGAAGATTTACAAATAGCTTCAAGAATTAAAACTGCTCCAATAAGTGAGGATTTACAAACTATCCCAGAAAATGTGTGCCAACCTACATAAACGAGGAGTTATGAATTGCTTTGCAGGATAGATATTGAGTATAATTTTTCAAAATTTTGGTAGCATCTCCTTTGTAATATGGACTAAATCAAAATGTAATACAACATAATATCTCCACCGCACATATATATAACAAATTGGGATCCACTTGCCACTTGAGATAATGACATTAAAGAGAAGTAGTGATAGTTTAAATTTTCCAAAATCCATCATACATCATAGTAAATCATATGCTTGCGTAGCTCAGTGTAACAGTATTGCTAATGTAAATGAAGTAACATGTTGATAATGCAGAAAAGTGACATATGTACTTAAGTGAAGATAACGTCATAACATGCTAGCCATAATAATGTAATAATACTAAGATATCTGTTGACTCCAAAAAAATGTGCCAACAAAATTTCAATCTCGTCCGTTTCACGTGAGCATCACTTGCACACTCGAACACCCCATTCGTAGCCAAAAGCAACTGGTTGAAAAAAAAAGTCTAGCGACCATTTGCACTCCATTATCAAATTAACAACCGGATGAAATATAAAGAGTGCAAGAGACAAGTAAGAGAGTTTTGTTAGGATTAGAGAACATACCTTAATTGTGAAATGAATCACATATATATTGTGAAATGAAAATGACCCATATGATGTTAAAGGGTCAAATCCAAGCCAAGACAAAGTTACCTAATTTATTAGGTCAAATCTAATGAATAAACGCGCATATCATGTAATTTGTGGATAAAACAAAAGTGAACAATAATTTTAAACACATATTTTATAGGACCAATAATTTTTCAACCATAAATTCTATTAATTTTTATCAAAATTTAATAAAAGTCTAATTTTTTTTTAAACCAAACGGCTTAGTTGAAGGCAATCGTGCCCCAATCTGGCCAAAGCCAGACTCTAATCCATCCCCTTCTCCATTACCTATTGCTACCCCATTGTCCAGCCCAAGACCTTCAACAATACACCCCCAAATCTGCCCCATCAATATGCTCATATACTTGAGACTTGACGACGTGATAGCCCACGAATTGCTTAAAATCATTATTTTAAATTTTAATTATCATTAATCAGATCATTAAAAAAAGTTCAAAAAAATGTGTAAATGATATATACATATATACACTTCATTATTTTTAAAACTGTATTAATCATTCAAAATCTGAAAGAGAAAATCAGATTATCAATAATGAGATTTAGTGATATCATTCTCATGTTTTAAATGAAACCTTGAACGTTGAAATCATGTCACAATTCTTGCTCAAAGTCACTAGTTTCATACAGACGTATTAGGCCACATTCAAAGAGATGTGAAATTTCAAAATAGTGTCACATATTTATAAATGATTTTCACATACACACAATATATGTTACAATTACACAATTTAGTATGTCACCGTCACATAACATACTACAAATATTTTAAATTACAATTACAGAACCTCATATGTCATAGTCACGCAACGTAATGACAATCTTAGTATGAAATGACAATTTTTCAAAGACACGTAGTAGATCACACTCTTGAATTGTAAATGCAAACTTGAAACTCTCCATTGTCACAACTTTATGACTTGGAGTCTGTAGCAACCGAAAATAAAAATTTTCATCTATTTTATCTTGACATGTTTCGTTAATTTGAGATACCGAGGGACTAATTTAAAAATAAATCTTGTGTCAAAAATTTTAGCTTTCGTTCAAATAATCAAGTATTCATCTAGTGAAAAATTTCATATCAATATTGGGCTTGTTTCAAAGCTCATATTAAATGGCGAATTTTGTACTCGAGAAAATGTTATTTTAGATAAGTTAGGCCCATGATACTGACATCCAAAGAATCCACATGTTTAATTAAGGTCAATTAAGGATTTAATAGATTTTGACAGCCATGTGTGAAATGGAATTGGGTATTGATACCTTCCAAATGGTGTACCAATTAATTTTCCTTACTTAAGGGTCATTTCCCACAGAGGATTGATTCAATTGTGCCAATTGTGCACAAAAACATAATATTAATAATTAAATGCGAAATATATTAAATGGGGGGTTTGGTTCGTTTAACTAAGGAAAGCGATAACTTCGAAATAGAAAAGACTTGAAATTTGAAATAAACAAAGTGGTTGTCGATTGAATATGAGAAAATGTGATTGGGAGATATTTCGTCACCGTGAGAATGATTTTCATGTCAATTACCACAATAGATTTTCGTTCAAAATTAACAACAATTCGAGAATAATTACAAGCTCAATTATCTCAATTTCTTCTTACATGTTAGTCGAATAAAAAAAGCTCCTTACTCGACCATATTCATTAAAAAACCTAGAACAAGCTCTCTAGATTTAATTTAACAAACACATCATTACAAAAGAGATGAATTGAATTAAGGGCAAACTCGCAAGCTCGGTTTACTAACTTAAGTGTTAATTCACATACATTCAATTGAAAATTTTTTATAATCTCTTGAAATGTAATTGCTACAAGGTTTTAGAATCAATAGATATTAGGTACTACTAATCCCGAAATAGCATTCATCGAAACAACTCAATCATTTATTTGTATGCCTAAACAATGAAGAAGAACAAAATCAACATTTAACACAATGGACTAAACACATCAATCAAGAGAACTATAAAGTACAAATTAACTGAAAATCATAACTTGAGTTTGAAATAATCCCCAATCACGATATATTTAGTTACATATGAAATATACACAAATAACCAACAAATTCTTACAACCCCTTAATGGAAAATAAATTAGAGAAAAGAAAAGCATATTGATAATGAGAGAAATGGGTCTCCTTTTTCAAGCTATTTTACCATCTCCAAGCTCTAATCTTCCCCAAAATATCCAAACCAATATAGGTCAAACGAAGAAGTAAAAAAGAAAAAGAGAGAGAGAGAAAAAAACAGACAACCAGCAGACCTAAAGAAGAAGGGAACTCCAGTCGGCTATTCTAATTTTCTCCCCCATCCCAGAAGTCTAGAAGTAGGGTTGCACAAAAAAATCACAAAACTGCAAATCGAACCTAAACTGTTGAGTTAAAACCATTGGTTCGGGTCCATGTGGACCTGTGGTTTCTTTTCTCTCAAACCGTTTCAAAATGGTTTTAATTTTCAAAAATCGCACAAAACCAAACCAAACCAAACCGTTTTTAAATTTTTAATTAAAAATAAATTTTATTAACTTAAAAATTTTACAATTTTCACTTTTCAAAAAGCAAAATATCAATTCAGCAGTACAAATTATAACCAACCTACTGAAATAATCGTAGAAAGTAAATTAGGTTCATCATTATTAACATATGATTTAATAGGTTCACAACACATATCCTCACCGGATATTTAAATT